GGCTCCTCTACTGGTGGGCAGCTAGATGACCAGCTAGATCCCTCCTGCCTCCCAACAATGCCTGATGAGCATCTCACTCATGTCCCTTTAGAGGTCTGTGTGAGAATCTCTTCGGGATATACACCCAGCATAAAACATCTGGGTGTGCATATATGAGGGGAGCCTCAAAGACCTTCATGGAAAAATCCCATTATCTTCTAATTCCATTTCTTAGGAGCTTTATGAAGGCCCTAGTACTTCATCTGTAAAATGATGCCTCCTTCCCTCCAAGATACCTGCACACTCGACGTGCATTGTGTCAGGGATCCTGAGTCCCTCTTCCCCTCGACACTTGACAGGACCCAGTGTTCTCACTGTTGTCAGCCTAGCATTAGATGAGGGAGAAAGTGATATCTCATTGTTATTTTCCATTGCATTTTTTTTCTGATTGTAATTAAACATCTCTGAGGCTTGTTAAGCTTTGGGGTTACTTTTGCATAAATTAGCTATTCATAAACTTTACCTATTCCTTTGTGCTTCTGTCATTTTCTTGCTGAATTTTAGGAGTACCTTGTTAGACAAGGCTAACTATTGCCTTCCCCTCTGTCTGCTCTCTGTTAACTTTGTCCATAGTACCTGTCATCAAATAAGCCAACACAAAACTCACCGCCACCAAGTCGATGCTGACTCATAGCTACTGGATCAGACAAAGTAGAACGGCCTCTGCAGGTTTCCCAGATTGGAACTTTTACAGGAGTAGACAGCCTCATCTTTCTCCCTCAGAGTGGCTGGTAGTTTCAAACTGCTGACCTTGTTCATTAGCAACCCCGCAAATAACCACAAGAAATTCTTAATTTTTAAAAAATCGACTTTATCGGTATTTTGTCTTATGGTCTGGTGTTTTTGATATTTTAATAAGTCCTACCCATTCCCGGGGAGCCCTGGTGCTGTTGGAGTTACGAGTTGGGCTGCTAACTGCAAAGTCAGCAGTTTGAAACCACCAGAAGCTCGTTGGGAGAAAGAGGAGCTTTCTACTCTCATAAGGAATTGCAGTGTGAGACCTCACAGGGGCAGTTCGGCTCTGTTCGATGGGACGGCTAGGAGTTGGCATCGACTCAATGGCAGTAAGTTTGGCCCATTCCTGAGGGACAGGGAGAGCCGCCTGTATTTTCTTCTGCTGATGCCATAGTTTGACCCCTGCCACCAGCCTTAGTCCACATGGAGTTTATCCCCATAGGTTGATAGGTTAGAGTTCAGTCTTTCCTTTTTCACCACATTGAAGGCATTTCTACTGAGCAAGCCATGCTTTGCACGCATTGGTCTGGGTGCCGTCCACATCCTATGCTTTATATGAATCGGTCTCTAATCTCGCTTGTTTCAGTCGCTCTAATTTATTTCAAGTCTGCCATGTGACCAATATGACTATTGTGATTACATGGCCCTCGCAGGACCCATTTCTCTGTTTATCATTCGCTTTATAAGCTTAGCTTGGCTGTTAATGGACCTCACCCTTTGTTGACTCTGTGGTCTGACTAACTCATGTAACAGTCACAACAGCCCGATGATGCAGGCACTGTCATCACCACCGTTTTCCAGAAGGAACTCAGAGAGCTGAGACGTGTGCCCCAACCACACAGTGGGGCCAGGAATTAATCTATATCTTTACCCATGACACTGCCTCTCTATTTAAAGGCCAAACAATAAACAAACTCACTGCCCTCACGGCAAGTCCAACTCACAGCAGCCCTGTAGGACAGGATGGCGCTGCCCCTGGGCGTTTTCCAGATTGCCACTATTTAGAACAGAAGGGGCTGTCTTTCTCCTGTGAAGGTTTTGAACCGTTGACCTTGCAGTCAGCAGCCCTAGTGTGTAACCACGACATGTCCAGGACTCCTCTTATTTAAACGCAGTTGCTGTAAATTTGAGTCTTATTTTTACTATATTCTTTTCATTTGCGGATTACTTTTACTATGCTTTTTTAAAATTGAGTCTTGTTTTTACCACACTTTTAAATTAAGTAGTCCAGCGATCCTTGTTTGTTTTGCGTGTAGGTTGGTATTTGGATCTGATGAAGCTGTTGGCTTCTCTTGACTTCTCGCAGTTGGCTTGTTTGTAATATCACCTACCAATCGTGACAGCCTTTCCTCTCACTGCGTTGTTTGTTTGTAAATCACCTATACGCCATGACAGCCTTACCTTTTCACTTCTAACTTTGAATCTCTCTCTCACTGTTTTGTTTTTCATTCTTTACAGCATCGGTTAAGATCTCCTGTACTATGCAAGACACTATGATCATGGACAGGAAAAAGAAAATGTTTCTGTTAGAAAAGCAATCTCATTCTATGAAAAGTAATGTTATTTGAGGAGCAGAAGATTGGTCTGAAAAGTGTGCACAGATCAGAGAACTGTTTCACAGAAGTACACATTAGGAGCCATGTTTGGTGGCTGCTCCGTGATTCTGAGCAGAGACCCTGTGCTGCTCCAGGCAGCAGAGATTTCTTTACCCTGGGAGATGATCTTTGCTGGGGAGAAATGGTTCCATTGTGATAAACTTGACTTCATTCTGACTTTAAGTACATTCAACTCCACCTCAAATCCCTGTGGCAACAACACAGCTCAGCACCTGCCATTTGCTTTACACAATCTGTTAGACATGATTGTTTCTGACAATTGATTGTTCTCTATCCCCAAGAGGAAATTCACAGACAGCAGCCCTGGAAGGGTCTTAAAGATCAGCCATTCTCATTTTACACATGCCTAGGGAGGAATTCTGGTGTCATAGTGGATTACAAATTGGGCTGTTAATCACAGGGTCATCAGTTCAAAACCACCAGCCACTCCTTGGGAGAAAAATGAGACTTTCTATTTCTATTATCAGTTACAGTCCCAGAAACCGACAAGGGCAGTCCAACCTTGTGTTAGTGGCTGGATAGGAGCCAGCATCTACTCAACAAGAGGGAGTTTAGTATGGAAAAATCCTATAAAGATCCTCTTGGCACAATGGGTTAAGCACTGGGCTGCTAACCACAAGGTTGTTGGTTCAAACTCACTAACCACTATTCAGAAAAAAGATGAGTCCGTCTGCTTCCATAAAGATTTACTGTCTCTAAAACCCTAAAGATCTCTTCTACCCTGTCCTAAAGCGTAGCTGTGAGTCAGACACACCCGATGGCAATGGGTTTGTTGGTAGCTTTTTAAAAAAGCTGTAGTGGATGCCACATCACCTTCCAGCAGATAATCTATCTGGGAAGTGCAGATGTCAACAAAGGAGCAGGGCCTGCAGCAGACGAGGGGTGACCTGGGCTTTCTCCTCATTATAGTCCAACTTCCAAGTGGCGTTGTATTCAAGCTTAGTGGCCTCATCCATCCAGGCTCTGATGAAGCCCTAAGGGAGAGGAGAAAGTACCCGGTCTTCTCAGCCTGTCCCAAAGCCGGGCCCAGGCTCTTTCAATGGTGAAGTCAGATCCATGGGAAGCTCCGACCCAGTGACCAAGCACACTCTACCCCCCCCCACACACACACACACACACAGGGTGACTAACGCTTGTGGGAGAAATGAGTGAACTCCAAAAGTCCCCCAGGAACCTCACACCCAGCACATCCAAATCGGAACTTCTTGCCATCGCTCAAACTCAAGCATCTCTTACAGTAACTTTACCACTGCAGGAACCAGGATGCCCTGGATTCAGCCATTTCCAGCACCTCTCTCTCTCTCTGTCACACACACACACACACACACACACACACACACACACACACACACACACCCTGGGAGTCGCCTTTGCCCCTCCCTGGCATGCCAATTCCTTCTGCACACCCTGGGCTCTCCTTCTTCAGTGTGGCTTTGATAGTTCCCTCTGCCCCACTCCTGATCCCTGGGACCCATCCTCTGCACTGTTGAAAAAGCGGTTTCCCTATCATGCAACTGCAAGCCTGTCTCCCGGCCTAAACTGCTACAGGGAGGCCCACCTTCAGAACGCAGCGCACACTTCTTAGCACGGCCTCCCCCTCTCCACACTCACCTCCATCAGCAACTCCCCTCAGTGCCACCTCCCTGGGCCATCACTGACTGCTTCTCTTCCAAGTTCTCGCTAACCAGAAGCAGCATCCCATCCTGCCCGCTAACACCTGCCTGTCCCTCCACCCCCAGGCCTGAGGTACCCTGCCCCTTGGGGTCCTGGCTGCCTCCTTGCTCCCAGTGAGTGCCCCGAGAAGGTGCCTTCTCTCAGGCCCTCGCCTCCCAGAACCCTGCACCTGGGGGCACTGCATTGTAAAGGTTCGGTTCTCTCGTGGAGCCGCTAAGATCCTGGGGTCTCCCAGAGATTGGTAACAGTGTCCTAAGGCCAGCCCGCCCCATGCACAAAGCACCGTTGAGTCAGGATTTGGTTTGCGGTACTCCATACCGGCCCAGGGCCAGTGAGGCTGGAGTGTCACACGGTGAGTCATCCCAATGAATGAATGGTGACTAGACCACGGATGAATGACTTGCTCTTCCCATCCAGAACTCACAAGGATAAAGGGGATAGATAGTTCGGGATAAAGGGGATAGAAGTGGGGGCGCTCGCGAGCGAGCTCGGGAAGGGGCGCTGCACTGGGTGCCAGCTGAGGCCGGCCGAGGGCCCAAGGGCAGGGGGCGGGCGGGCGGGTGGGGGGCTGCCAGGGAGTTCCGAGGGGCTGGTGGTCAGTGGGCGGGCCAGGCCCGACCCTGCATCGCGACTCTGCGCGGATTTCGCTTTCGCTTTGGGCGGGTCTGGAGGCGGCGGGGCCGTCCCGGAACGAGCGTGGCGGCACCCAGGGAGTTAATCCGAAAGCGCTGCCAGCCCCGGGGCTCGGACTCCGCGTGTCACCGAGAAGCTGATGTAGAGAGAGCCACAGAGAGAAAGAAAGCAAGACGCCCCAGTCCGGGAAAGTCCTGCCCCGGGCCTGGGGCAATTATAAAAAAGTGCGCCCCGGGGCCGAGCCACCAAGCCACCGCCCTCACCTGCCGAGTCCGCCAGCCCGCGACCCACCGTCCACTCAGCATGTGCCGGCCGCGCAGTGAGTACCCCGGGCAGCCACGGGCTAGGGCCCCGACGCGCTAGACTAGCGAGGCTGCGAGGCGGCCAGCGCCCTCGTGCAAAGCGGGGTCCGGAGGAGGCAGACAGCATTGCACGCTGGCTGCCAAGTAGAACACGTTTCTGGGAACCTTGAACCTGGGACTCCAACTGTCCTGCGAGCTTGATGTCCTTAGCCCCACTTCATGGATGGGAGGCCCAGGGCGGGAGGTGCCTGACCCAGTGGTCCGCGGCTACAGCTCTAAGAGGCTGGGTCCCAGCCAGCCACTAAGCAAGGCTTCATGACCCCCGCTATTTCTAAGACAGGTGGTCCTGAATTTGGGCAGTCACTTCACCCCCTGGAAGCACTGTCCCTGCATGTTTTCCCTCTGGGTACCTCGAAGCCTAACACCCCTCTCTTAGCTCAGCTAAAGACCTCATCCGTTGTCCTTTCGTGGAGTCCACACCACGGTGACACATGGTGTGTGTGTCAGAGTAGAACTTTATGTTATGGAGATTCAGTGGCTGAGTTTTTGTTTGTTTGCTTTGTTGTGTTGTTTTGTTTTCAGTAGTTACCAGGCCATTTTTCTGGGGTGGCCACAATTCCACATCTACCCCTTAGCAGCCAAGGGCAATAACAGTGCCACTGCTGGGTACTCAGCAGGTGGCTAACCTCAAGGCCAGCAGTTCAAACCCCCCAGCCACTCGCTCTTCCAAGAGAAAAGATTTACAACCTCCGAAACCCCATGTAGGTAGGATTGTTGTCAGTCAGAATCGACTAGATGGCGGGAGTTACGTTGTTTGCAGCACACAGGACACTTAGCCAGCATCTGCCCCTGCATCAGACCAGCTGCCTGCCAAGAACTCCAGTCACGGATCAAGTGCTGGAGAACACTAGGGTGGGGTTGATATAGAGATGATGGACGAGCAAAGCGTGGAAAGTGGAGGCGAGCCAAACCATGGGACAAGCTCAGCCTCCCCCTGCCTTCCCCCCTAGGCCTCTTCCTCATCACTACCTTCATCCTCCTGGCTCACCTCAGCTTGGCCAGGAACCTCCCGGTCGTCTCCCCAGATCCTGGGACGTTCCAGTGCCTCACCCACTCCCAAAACCTGCTGCAGGCCGTCAGCAGCACGCTTCAGAAGGTGAGCTGATGAGCGTGCTCGGGCAGTGTTTCCGTGGAGGGGGCTTCTTGGCATCACGGGTCATCTGAAGGAACCGCAGGGAATCCCCGAAAGTTAATCCGGAGCTGTCAAGGAGGGGAGAGGGGACGGAACAAATGGCCAAACTATTAGCTAAAGAGTCTCGATGAAATTGTGTGTCCAGAGAAAGTACAAGGGGTAATAAATTATAATGCCATTCATTTGGGCTATGTGTACACAGAGGGAAGTGGATATTTACAGTGCTCCTTAGAGCCTGCCAACAGAGATGGAACGGTGTCAGGTCCACGCTGTTTCTCTGACACGGCCAATCCATCCAGGGAACGGTGATCAGGTGCATACTCTGTGCTCCGGAGGCCACGCAGACGAATTAGACCTGTCTGTCCCGGGAGCTGCTTGCTCTCCACCTTCGGCTCTGAGGCTGCTCTGCCTTGGGGAACCTTGGGACGGCACACGTGGCCTCCTCCAGTTTCTAAGGGAAGAGTTGCCTGATTATGTCCAGCTTCATTCACTGTCTTATTTGAATGCATTTTTTTTCCTTTCTAAAGATGTTCCACTCCTACTGCTTTTTGCTGCGAAGGCTAATGTTTTAAAAGATAGCCTTTTTACCTTTCCACTCAATGGTAAATCTTCTTTGAATATTGTCCAGGTTGTTGCTTTACGAATATCTTAATATAAGTTCAATGCTCTTCTTAAAGAACTCTCCCCTCCCTCCTCCTTCTAATCTTTCATAAGGTGCTGCCAATTGCTCCTCGTAGTTCAATCAATATTAATTAAAAAGGCAGTTCGCCCAGTCTTTTTTTAAAAAAAAGGCAGAGGGAAGTGCTTTGATTCCTGAAGAAAGGTTCGATCAAGATAAAAATCCAGACATTCCCATTTAAATAGATGCTTTATGTGAGAGAGAGAAAAGCTGACTCTTCTACTCCCGGATGCAGAACTAAGGGTCAAAAGACTACAGAACTCAATTTCATATTTTTTTAACATCATTCCTTTGTCAAATTTGCTGAAGCAAATCACCTGGCTGCTGTGGAGAAGGAGAACGGAGGTAGCAATGGCCACAGTGGGCCCACAGAAGCACAGGACAGATAAATGCTTAATTTATTATTAATTAATAATTAAACATTCATTTCGACTTTCCACTTTGATTTTTTGAATCAAATCTTTTAGATAAGAATCCAAAGTTTCCAATGTCTCTTGGAAAGATTTGAAGAACGGTGACACTGGGCCTGCATTTCCAAATGGAGCTTCTTAGAACCTGCCCAGAACAATGATTGAAACATCCCCAAAGGGCAGTGCTAAGGAACCCTGGTGGCATGGTGGTTGCATATTGGTCATAAGGTCAGCAGTTCAAAACCAGCAGCTGCTCTGCGGGAGAAGGATGAGGCAGGAGGCTTTCTACTCTTGTAAACAGTTGTAATCTCTCAAACTCACAGCGGCGTTGCATTGACTCAGTGGTGGTGAGTTTGGTTTCTAAGAGGCAGGGCTGCTGGAACAAATGACCACACCCTCTGTGGCTTTAAATGATATGCATTTATTATTACATCTCTGGGATCAGAAATGGGTCTCAGTGGGCTACTGTCAAGATGTCAGCAGGGCTGTCCTTCACGGGGCTCTGAGAGAGAAGCTTCTTTCACTGCCTTTTCCACCTTCAAAAGCCAGCGATGGCCAGGCATGTCCTTCTCACCGAGTATCACGAATAATCGTTTGCCTCCCTTTTCCACTTACAAAGCCACTGTCATCACCTTTGGCCAAGTTGGAAAATCCAGGGTCATCTCCCTCCCTTAATTCCATCTCCAACCTGAATTCCCAGATGCGGTCGAAGATACTGTGTTCACAGGTCCAAGGAGGAGGACAACGTGGACATATTTGCTGAGGAACATTATGTTGCCTCACTGCCAGGGATCTCACTGTCTGCTCACAGCATGCTTCCCACCTTGAGTCATGCTTGACTCATGAAATTCCAGGCTAAACTCTCCCCAGCCCCTTTGTCTACTCCCAGCATTCTGAGCCTCTTAATGCTAACAGCCCATCTCCAGGAAAGTGTCTGCTCTCTTCTCCAACCCCTCCTCAGAACCTTTCTGCCTTTCTTATCGACCTCCTCCACTACACAGGGCATTCCCAGAGGCCACGCCACTGTGCTCTTACTTGTTGTTCTCCTTCAAGTGCAGCATGGACTCTTCACACACCACGCTCGTTGAATGGAAATATGGTCTGTCTTCTTTCGAAAAATTATTCATGTCTTCAATTCCAATATTATATTTAACCATGTGCCCTCCACTATGTATATAAAAAGGCACTTCTGTGCATGTGTGTACACACACACACAGGATTGCAAATGACATCTCAACTGGTCTTTAGGGTTCGCATGTTTGTTGTAGCCACCAAGCTGTGACCTTAATAGTTCCCCATCAGAAGCATACTTGAAAAAGATATTAAGACAGAGGCTCTTTGGCAAAAGAAAAGGAAGAAAAAACCAAAAACCTGGTTTTCACCCGAAGCAAGTGTTACAGCATGGTGTAGAGGCTGATTAGCACAGCCTGTTGAAATGATCTATAGTGTGGATATCAAGGAAAAGCATGTCATCCAGAGAAAGATGTCCGAAGCAAAGGGAGAGAAGAAAGGGAGACAAAATGTAAATGGCCCATTTCCTCTTGTCTTACCAAGAGCCTGGATTCCCTGTAGGTCAAAGAGATGGCTGTCTAGGACAACCAGCTGGGACTGAGGCAGGTGCCAGCCTCCCTGGGAGCTAGATGCAGTACAGTGTCACAAATTGAGTTGTTCTTCATGTTTCCTACAGGCCAGACAAACCCTAGAATTTTACTCCTGCAGCTCTGAAGAGATTGATCATGAAGATATTACAAAAGATAAAACCAATACCTTGAAGGCCTGTCTACCACTGGAATCAACTGTGGTATGTTGCGGGCGGTGGTGCTGGTGGTGCTGGTGGAGGTGGAGGTGGAGGTGGAGGTGGTGGTGGTG